TAAAAAATCATACATAATTTGCAAGATTTTGGGGACTACCAAAATCTTGCAAATTATCAATTATTTAATATTTTTGTTGTGAAATTTACATATTTAGGGTCATCTTGGGAGATTTTTTACTATTTTTTTTATTTTAATTTATTTTGATGTTCTTTAAGAATAAACAACTGTAAAACAAAGCAGATGTGTTTGATAAATTGTACTTTTAAGAGTGTTGGGAGTAGAAAAACAGTGTAAAGTATTTGGCAAATTTGTTATGAAAAAGTGATATAATTGTATATAATGGGGAAAATTAAAATAGTAGTAGTAACGGTGGTGGTGGTGATGGTAGCAACAGCGGTATAGGTATAGTGGTGGTGTCAATAGTTGGTGTGGTGGTTGGGGTGCAAAGGTAACAATAGTGGTAAGGGCAGACGTAGCAGCAGTGATGGTGATAGTGGTGGGGATGCAACAATGGTGGTGGCAATGGCGATAGTGTTGGTGGTGGTTATCGTTATGGTAGCGATTGTGGTTGTCGTGTAGTGGTGACGATTATGGTGATGGTGGTGGCAACAATGGTTGTGGTAATGGCGGTGATAGTGTAAAGTTAGTGTTTATAGTGGTAGATGGTGGTGGTCGATTTGTTCTCACATGGAAAAAAATGTGTGTAGAAGGATAAATAATGTAATTTAAAAGAAAATAATGATGGTATTGCAAGAATTGAAAATGTTCATTAAAGACTCAACTTAGCTTTTTATAACATCTACAAGCTACTTTTAAAAGCTGTTTGTCTATAAGCCATTGTTTTTAAAATAAGCAGAATAATTTATTTATAAAAGAAGTCTTAGCCTATGGGTAAGTAGAATCTGGGCTTCGGCCTCTTGCTGCCTCCTTGGACTCTCCTCATTGTACAATACAGCCCATGATATTGGGCCTCAAGGTCTGCATTATTCAGCTACAAGCTATGGGCTCATCGCGTCTCCATTTCTCAACCCACACAGTCCAGTGGAAGGCCCAGAACCAGATTAAAGAGATTTGTCCAGATATATTTGAAGGTTTTTATGCCGACAAGCAAATAAAAAACCAAGAAACAAAACCTCCCTAGATCCTAAAGTTTTCAATCGTATTTAGGTTTTACTTTTTTTTTTTTTTTTTTGGAAATATTTTTTTTAATAATCCTGTATGTCGCTGTCTAGTGTCTAAAAAGAAAAGAAAAAGGATTTTGAAACTGTTAAAGACAAAAAAAAAAAAAAAAAGGAAGAAAAAAAAAAGCAAAAAAAGTTTGTCGTCGGACTCGTATCCGCTCCATCCGGATAAGGCAGTTTTGGATAACCTGAATTTTTCTGTCGCTTTATTGCTGTTAGCTTAGGTTATATCTATCAAGTGACAAGTGGCAAGTGGCAAGTGGCTTAACTACAAGTCAATCGTACGGTCGAACTTTTTTAAAGTGAAACCGGCCGCATGTGTTCTTTGCTCGTCTCAAAATTAAAGTGAATCCCACAAACAAGTGGTAATTTCATTTTTACCTTGACTAATGCAAAGTATACTCATGAATCTTTAGTCCTTAAATTTTAAACTGTTGAATTTTTAATGAATATTCAATGCTCCATTTATCTAAAGTATGACATAAAACATGTATACATTTGCTAGTATAAATAACATTTTGTTTTTCTTATAATAAACCGTAATTAAAAATGTGTCCTAAAACATGTATACATGAAGGATAATGGTTAAGCAAATATGGGTCTTCATCTTAACTTAAGATCTACAAGGTTCTAAGTCTCCATGTACGAGCATTTGTAGCCTTTTGATGTATACAAAAATGCTACTTTTATTATATATTTGTATCATCTTTTTAATAGAGATGAGATCTACATGCATTGGCAGACCTTATTTTTATTAGAGAGATGATACAAATATGTAATAACTGTAACATTAAGCAAACTTGTAAACATCTTAATAAGAGTAAATACTTGGATGAGATATGCCGAGATGACAATACGGACTCGTTTTGATGTGCTTTTAAAATGATTGAAAGTGCTTTTAGAAAAAAATTATTTTTGGATTCCAAAAGCACTCGAAGTGTTTTCTGCAAGAAGCATCAATTCTTTCAAGAAGCACTTTAAGTGTTTTTCCAAGATTTACTTGTATTTTGACTTAAGATTGGTTCTTAAAATATTTTCACTAAAAGTGTTTTCAATCATTTTAACAGCACATCCAAACGAGTTTTACATTTAATCAATAAAAACTTATTTAGGAACACATATTTTTGTCTTTGATTTATATTTTACTTGACTTCCAAAATTATGGATAAGTGGATATTCTTTTTGTTGTTTTAATTAGATGCCAAGACAAAAAATAAATAAATTTGAAATTCAAAACACGAGCTCCTATCCTGCGTATCTTGTCCACCGTAGTGATTGTATGGTTGTGAATCCAAAGCAATCACATACAACCCAACCGACACAACCCCCCGAGCGGTGACTCACAGCTCTCGGAAGTTAAAGCCAACCTACTTAATCACCCACAATCCCAACCGTCCATAATCCCTATCCGCTCCACGTGCCATCCCCATATCGCGCCGTCAAGTTCCAAAATACCCAGCACAAAAATCACAGACGAGCTCTCGAAAGGGCAGCAGCACAAATACTAACAACGTGTCTGTTATATTTAATTAGCCCTCTTTTTTTCTTCCTCCCCTTCAATCGAATTTTTCAAAGCCTCTTCGAATTTTACAGAGAAAGTAAGGAGCTTTCCCTCTTTGCTTACTGCTTCTCGCAATAAAATTAATAAAATTAATTTTTTTTACAATTAATTAATGTGTAATTTGGTTATTAAAATACAGAGTTTTTATATATATATATATATATATATATATATATATATTTTTTTTTGGAAAATAATTGTTCGAATTTGTTGCAGGTGGGAAGTGAAATGGCGGGCTCAGTGGAGAAGGAGGAGGTTGTGTCCTTGGAACTTCCAGCTCCTTCTGGTTGGGTTAAGAAGGTTTATTTGCTTTCTCTCTTTTTTATTGGCTCTGTATTTTTTTGCCCGCATAATTTTGTATTTTTTTGCCCGCATAATTTTCTGAGCTACGGAATTTTGAATTTTTGGGTAGCTAAATTAGTTTAATTCATGTTCAATTGGGGAAATTTCAATTGGGTATTTTGGGGTTTTGTGAATTGGTGGGTTTTTGTGGTAGAATTTGAGGATTTGGTAATGGTTCTGTTTTAGGGTTTGTGTTGGTTTTTCAGCAATTGAGCTTAAATTCTGGGGCTTTTGCTTATAGTTTGTTAGGTTAAATGGTCTGATAGGGTTTGGTTTCGGCAAATTTTCGGGATTTTTGTACATGTTTCTTGGAACTCTGCATTCCCAATTGTACGAGGATTTGCATATTTTTATAGAGAATGTAGTTTGGAATATAGACACTTGGATAAAAAGTGGAGGCAATTACAATCTCTGTGGTTGTATTTGGGGATATTCTGTTATTCTGTTTATTGCTGATTTGTTTTGTTCAGATATATTTGTTGAGTTAGAGTTCCAGCGGATTCCATTGTTAGCCTTCGTATTAACTTTCCTGCGTTGCTTTACTTAAAAACTTTAGTGCACTACTCCAATGAACTATTAGGTCTTTGTGCTGGTTGATTTCTTAAGGTGCATGACCACTGTCCTTTTATCTCTTAAGTGCACTTTCAATATCTGCCGACCATGGTGCAATAGTTCATATCTTATTCCGTTTTTGCACAAGTCCTCGCACAGCACCTCTTTCAAATGTTTTTCGTACAATTCATATTTTCTTGTTATGTATTTTTTTCCCAGTTTATTGAGTCAACTTAACACACTGAGGTTGGTCTGTGTAACATGCAGTTTCTGCCCAAGCAAAGTGGAACTCCTAAGAAAAATGAGATTGTATTTACAGCTCCAACAGGAGAGGAGATCACCAGCAAAAGACAGTTGGAACAGTACCTGAAAGCACACCCTGGTGGTCCTGCAGTATCAGAGTTTGATTGGGGCACTGGTGAGACACCAAGGCGGTCAGCAAGGATTAGTGAGAAGGCAAAAGCAACTCCGCCACCAGAAAGTGAGCCCCCAAAAAAGCGAAGCAGAAAATCAACTTCGGCAAAGAAGGAGGACAAAGAAAAGGAAGCTGCTCCTGAAGGAGCCGAGGAGACGAAAAGTAGTGACGTGCAAGATGCTGAAAAAGCTGAGAAAGATGCAGATACTGAGATGGAAAAGGTTGATGTGAAGGAAAACCAAGATGTGGAAAAATCACCAGCTCCTCCCAAAGAAGCCAAAGTTCAACAAGAAGCTAACATACCTGGCGATGCTCCGGCTCTGGGAGATTCAACCGCATCCATTGATGGGAAGGACGTTGAAGGGGAAAAGGAAGAAGAAAAGGTTGAGCAACCACCAGTTGGGGTAGGGAAAGAGGAAGTGACTGGGTATCAGGGCAAAGCCGGTATAGCTATTGGAGGTGCGGACAAAGATGAAGGAGAAGTAGAGGAAAAAGGGAACGAAGAGGAACATGATAGTTCAGGTGTTCATGAAGCAGGCAAGAAGGTCGAAGAGAATGGCAGCCCCGGCAATGAGGCTGCTAAGGTCGATCCTTGATGATTTGTTTAAAACCCGTTTCTCTTCCGTCATTCTGACCTTGCACATTTCTGAGAAAACTCAGTTTCTGTGTTGTTAGTTTTAGCTCTCTGATTGTCCATTGAAGTATCCGTCTATAGAATCGGTAGATTAGGCCTATAAAATGTACCTTCCTTTTGTTGTGTACTAGAGAGAATGTAGTAGCGGCAGTGACCCCCGTAACATTATGTTGTAAGATACTGGTGATGTATTATTAATATTATGCAGCTCTGTACTATTGTAGTGATAACCTTGTCTTTTCGCTCGATCTAGATGTTGGTTGCCACTGGTCTGGTTTAGTCTGTGTTTTATCGAATGAACAAAGATTTGAGATCGTAAAATGCTGAAAGCCTGAAACATACATAGCCGGTCGTGTTGCGCACAGGATGTCAAGCACATGAAAACGAAAAGCTTCCTTCATTCAATTCAATTGTATGGTTGAACAATGAAACTAAATCTGTAGTTTCTAGCGAAAACTGTGGTAGCCGGAAATCAATGGAGACTCTGGAACTCATATTTGTAATACTGATTCAGAGAATTATTGGAATTAAGAGCCTTCCTCTCAGAAAATAAATAAATAAATAAATGTAGTGATCAAATGAGTAATCTTCTGTGTTTTAAAGTCCCTTAAGCTGGTCAATGAGCCCGGTTAATGTTGTCCATTTCTCAATTGCACTGGCAGAAGACACAAATGCTAGCTTGGAGGACTCTACATCATTCCGCGTAACTGCAAAACAAAATGGATCCACGAAAAGGTATGTTTAACCGATGATTTTCCAGTCAAATAACATACGATTTTCTGTAATGTAAGTGAGGCATTGAAGTTCAATGTGATGGAGTAACTCACCTGATGATATCAATGAAGCTAGTGAGGAGTTGAATGTATCCACCTCAGTCTTCTCTTCACGGCTAGAGCTTAGCTGTTGAGAAAGTAGACGAAAAAAAGTCGGAAAGCTAGGCAATGTACGCCAACATAACAAATAGAAGATGCTATGACTCTTCATGAAACCGAGACTCTAACTGCGGAATGTAATTTTCGGAAACAATACACAACGAATGGCCATTTGAAAACCGCAAACATGATGGTACATGATACTACAAGTTTTCAATATTTAAGTTTTTTTCGTGAGAAGGCTCACATTGTGTGTAGTGTGTGCTAATGTTATAAACCAGGATGAGTAGTGACCTTATTCAAAGCGAGGTTCGCCTTCTGAACCCAATCTGTGTCAGTGCTGACTCCAAGAACCGAACTGGCTGCAGGCAAATCGTTACTTTCAATGGCCTGGCCTGCTTTGCTTAGCCGGTACACAAGTTCCTGCAGATATCCTGCAGCAGATCAATACTATTCTGGTAAGGCTCACGCATGTCACAGAAGCGAAGCATCGTTGTGGATGAATTTGAGAAGGTCATGTGAACACAACCAAATAAACAGATTTCTCATAGACCAGTGGATTACACACTATTTGATTTTTGTCAAGAAATAATAGAAATATAACTAGAATGCAAATATTTAGGTCTAGAAGCTGCATAGTTTCCAGTTACTGAAAATTGAAACAAAAGCAGTCTCAAAATTGCACTAGTTCGATTTGAATGTTAAGATTTCATAGAGATTGACTGGCATGGCAGCCCAATACTAATCAACACTGATAATGTCCCCAACTTAACCACATTCACATACTACAGGTATAAAATTTTAAGACAGAAGGACTCGATACAATTAGTAGTCGAACTTTCACATTCCCTAACAAGAATAGTTTGAGAACATTATTTTGGACTAAACACATAAATATTATTCATCAAAAAGATAATTCAACATATTCTATCAGGGGAATTGATAATTTATGTTGAAATTCAAATTAAACAACAAGAAAAAAAATTAAGCATTTAATTTGGGATTTTGAAGTGAATTAAAACAAAGTCAAAGGGATAAAACAAAAACCTGTTTCTTTCTTTGATGAGCTGAGTACTCCTTGCCTTTCAAGCCTCTTCTTCCTGTCCTTCTTAACCTTCTCCAACAGCTCCTCATCATCATCAGCTTCCAGAATTGCTGCATTAGAACTGCTGAAATCTTTGCCAACCAATGAGAAGGCAAAGCTGTTGAGAAAGCAGATGGACAGGCTTCTTTTGGTGAGGATTGGAGCAGGTGAGCGTGGCTCTTCACTCAGGGCCTTACAAATAGTCAATCCTCTCCTTGTACTTGTTTTTTGGACATGGATTAATGTTGGTGGTGTTGTCAGTGAAGAAGAAGAAGTAACAGAAGATGCTGAGGAGGAAAGGGTTGGAGGGAGGAAGGATTTTGCAGTGGAGAGAATGGCTGTGGCCATCTTCTTTGATTGTTTTTTTTTACCGTATTTTTTCTGATGATTTTTTTGGTGGGAAAATTCAGAGGTATTGAATTGACATGTTAGAACTTTTGAGGATAAGGTTGCAGGATTCTGTCCATCTGATATCCTGTCAGTTTTTTCCTAGCGCTTAAGGGTATATACGTAATATGCAAGGACAAATCACAAAATTAAACTTGTTTATTAGCGGGGAGAAGAGAAATTATGCGACCTTAACAAGTTGACTACATTCAACCTGCAAAATGTTAGTGTTCCTGAAGGTACGGTTTGGTACGTGGGATGAGACGGAACGGAGTGGGACAAGACTTTCCGTTCTATGTTTGGTGTGCCTAAAACGGATGGAACGCGCTGTTTCACGGGACGAGTTTTTGGTGAATTTTCGTTCCACCTCACCCCCTAGAACGACTCGTTCTACATCCGTAGAACACAAAATTATAACCTCTCCATCTGCTTCTTCTTCCTCCTTGTTTCCATCCGAGGGCATCTTTGCTCCCTCTCTGTTCCGTTTTGTCCCTGTTTGCTCCCTAAATCCGCCATGGGCCTTGCGGGCAAGCCGGGGATTTACTGCACATACGAGATTGGTGGGTGCGGGCGTGCCACTACTAGATGCCGCTAGTAGACGGGATTTGAATGATTGAGGTTGCGCCTGAGTTTGACTTCGAACTAAGAGATTGTGCCATTTGAGTGGGAGTTGCTCAAATTAAGGTTCTTTGTTTGCCTTAAAAATAAGGACTTTACTTATATGGAGAGATAGAACAATATGTAAATGAAAAGGTTGCTTGGAAATATAAATGACAGAGGAAAGTGACTAATATTGCAGATTGCTTGTAATTTATATGACTGGAAATGAGTACATAAAAGCTACAAATAAGATCGATACTGCAAGTGAGCAGCAGAGCTAATAAACTAGATAAAAGAAGGCTTTTGGCAAATCTGGTTTGAGCAGAGTTTGTGCTTTTGTTTGTTTGTTTTGAGTGTCCAAAATCCTTGTGTTTGGTCTCCTGCTGAGGACATTGCACCTGCCCGAAAGAAACTTGGGCAGTTTGTATTCCATTGCTTGGGCAGCTTGTATTTCACTTGCCAACTTGCATGGAGAAATAATATTAAAAGGGGAACTTGCATTTCCACCATATGCTTTCATCACATGTTTTCCCACTTGTAATAAACTAACATTTAAAAGAAGCAAGTTGACTTTTTTCACATGTTCCTTGCCCGAAAGCTTGCTGGTGCCTTTCCATCTACTTGCAATACATGCATGTATCTTGATTAAACAAAGGCTAGACAAACCTCCACCACCCAAACAAATAGGAGAAACAATATTATAATGTCAAACCCTTCCACTTGCATCTAAATATCTTTCCAAGTTAGCTTTCTTGCATATTAATCCTCCAAATGCCATATTTTACCCAAATTGCCCAAATAAGTAAAAATGGGTATATTTTGAGTACAAACAGTCCCGTCCCATTCTGTTTCGTTCCGTCCTGTCTCGTCTACATACCAAACGATACCAAAGGTACCGTTTAGTACGCGGGACGGGACAGAACGCAGTGGGACGAGGCGTTCCGTCCCACGTTTGGTGCGCCAAAAACAGTGGAACACGCTGTCCCACAGAACCAAATTTGGTTACTTTTTCGTTTCACCTTACCCCCTAGAACCACTCGTTTCACACCTGTGGAACACAAAATTATAATTTTTTTTTACAACAATACCCCTCATCTTTTTCATTAATTCCACTATCTACCCTCCCTCTCTCTCCCGTAACCTACATCTCTTCTACCCTCCCTTTCTCATGTAGCCTCCTCCTCCTCCACCACAAACCTAGCTGCATCTTCGTCGACCTCAACGCTCCTTCCGCCGCCCACTGGGCTTCCCACTCCGGTCGCATTGTCATTACAATTTTTACCTCCCAAACCTTGCTTCTCCTCTCTCCCAAACCCTGCTTCATCTTTCTCACTCTCAGATGGGTACTCCCGAGTTCAATTCGAGCAACAAGTTTTCGGCGAGTCGATTGCTGCCAGTGACCGACAACGGCAATGTACTCGACGACAACTTTGGCTTTGAACCCATATTTATCAACTTTGAATTGCAGTTGGGTTCTTAGTATATATGGTTTTTTTTCCTGGGGAATGAGTGAAAAATCTTGCAACCCATAAAACAAAATCTCAACCTGTTGGACAAAAAATCTTTGCTTATTTGCTGTTGGGTTTGAAAAACTTAGTGAGATAGAGATTTTAGGAAACTTTTGTTTTGATGGGGGTTTGCTAGAGCAACAAAATCAAGTTTGATATATTTAAGTTTTAAGTTTTAATGGGGAAGAAGACGGGGTAGGGAAGAAGAAGATGAACAGTTCATCTTCTTCTTTTTCTTTTTTCTTTTTTAAGTTTTAATTATATAAAAATAAAAATTATTTTTTATTATTAAATATTTTAAATCTACATGGAAATATTTAATTAGATTTGTGGAAAATTGTCCCGTTCTGTTCCACGAATAAACATTGTGTCAAACAACAGGCGGAACAGGGGTAAATTAGTCATTTAATCTTTTGGTTCGGTGCCATCATGCGCTTACCAAACACAATATAGAACAATTGTCCCGTTTCGTCCTGTGCATACTAAACATAAGTTTCAGTCCCATTCCATCTCTTCCCGTCCCGTCTTCTCCCTTGAGGAGCGGTAGAGGAAACGATGGATATAATCCTGGATAAGTAAGTTTTTGTCAAAACAACATGAGGGATATACTTCTGAAATTTGTGGTTTTATCTAAACAAGTCATGCGATAAGTAAGAAAAGAACGTAAATTCTCACTTTTTAATACGATAATAAGTGCTTGACTTGTTCACCAAAAAAAAAGTGCTTACTTGAAATATCGTCATTCCCATTTCATACAAATTATTCTTTGAAATAATACCTTACAAATGACGTCCTCCAATTTGCAAATTGAATGTTTTAGATGAAACCATCATATCTGATGGTCTAAAGGATCCCATAATGCAATGCATTGCATACATTGATGCAGATTTTTTTTTTTTTTTTTTTGTTCCCTGAGCAATTTTGTTTTTGTTCGAGACTGAGGTAAACTGTTTGTTATGCATTTAGTAACCTAAATATTAAGCTACTAATCGCACGTTTTAAACTTGCAAGTGCACAAGATCAAACATATAGTATAGAAAGTAAGTATGAGATCATTCCCACGAGGATTGCACTAATATGTATCTAGAGTATGATTCCTAACAATTTAAATTAATTAATTCACAAAACTATGCACTCAAATGTTTAACAAAATAGTTTGAGATGTCTTAAGTTTAAGTATTAAAACACAATACAAAGAACATAGGCAAATAAAAGTAATTGGCAATAAGGATTTTGAAAACGATGTTTGAACGGTTAGGACTTTGACTTCCATCTCTAACCTTTTTCACCTAAGCAACCGCTACACACTATGATACAAAACAGATTGTTGATGCTTTACGTTTGTCAACCTAAAGGCATGGTATCTACTCCTTAAACTATTGATTTCCCTAAACAACGAATTAGGCATGAGTGTCTACACTAACTCTTTTCATTCTTGAAGTATTTAGCATGGTATCTACTAAGTTGCACTCCAAGAAAGCATAATACAATGGAAATCGACAAACACACGAATCATAGAACATGGTATCTATTCCGGTTATTCTTGATAATTAATTCCAAGAACCGTAACTAGTTCTCTTATGACTCGGCATAGGTAAAAGACTCAATCATCCAAATTTTGCCCATGTAACAAACTCAATTACAAAGCTATTCTATGGTGATCAATCATAAAATAACTCAATAAGATTGGAATTAAAACTAGAATAAATCACTAAAGCATCAACAAATTGTCTCGTAACAAAAGTGTATCTAAAATACTCAAGGAAACATGATTAGGACTTCAACCAAGTCCCAACTATGAAATTTAGTTGCTCATAGTGTAAATGGGCAGCAAAGACAAACAAAACAGAAAGTAAAAGGAGAAGAAGAAACTCTTCGATGACAAATTGCAGAACGGTGCTCTGGTCCTTCCTTTTTCTCCCTTCTGCCGTGGGTTGTTCTTTCTCTGTTTTGGTGGTTACTGCTGCCAATTTACGAGCATAACACTGTTATGTTAATTTGAGTGTAAAATCTGGTGCTTTAGTATGTTCCCATTGTCCTTCATTCCAACATGAACAAATGGTTGATGGTGTTAATTGTGTTTTTTCCCAGCCTCTGTGGCAGTGCAAGCATTCACTGGAATGCATGGAATATGGAAGAATTGCAGATAACCTTCCTTCACCTGAGAAAGTTGCTGCTCTTATCAAAGCAGCAAAGATAAAAATGTCTAGATATACGATACCAATTAAGATGTTCTTAACGTTTTTAGAGGGACAGGGCTTGAAGTAGTGGTAGCACTTCCAAATGCAATGCTGTCAGATATGAGTCTCAATGAAGATCATGCAGTGACTTGGGTTATAGACAATGTGCAGTCATTTCTTCCATCTTTATGCATGCTTAAAAAAAATGTTAAGCAGAAGTACATGAAGCTGTTTTTGGAGTTATTTAGAGAAATCGGGTTTCCCTTCTGTTTAAATGCTTATCCGTGTTGGAAGCTAAACAACTTCTAAAGTTAAAGGACGAAGGCAGCAAGGAACTCCCAGGCTTGGATTAGGTCTGTATCAAAGAAGAAAGAAGAAATGAAGGGTTTTAGTCTCCAACGGCTAGTTTCAATTTGAATGAATGTGTGAGTGTGTGAATGACAAGTGTACACTTCAGATTAAATCACTCAAACCCAAATGAAGGGATAGGATTAAATCTAGAGAAGTAAGGTAGAAATACTTGTTTAAGTCTCTTGTCAATCACTCTATAAAAGAGTATGAGTTATGGCAATGCACCATACCCTTTAATCACTCCTCTACTTAATGAAATATGAGCTGCTGCATTTTGCACAGCCAATCAAGCAGTCAATCACATCTCCAAGTCCTCTCCATTCTCTGCTAAAAAAAAAAACCAATTCAAACTATAACAAAAAATCATCCAAACAAACAAATTTTATCATGGTATCAGAGCCTAGTTTTGATCTTACAACTTTCTGGGC